ATAATAATTTAATTACAATCTAATTTAAGTTAATTTAATTCAATCATATCTCTAAAATTAACTATTCTAATCTGATTTTAACTAAAAATAACTTTAATTTAATTTTAACTTAACTTAATTAAACTTAACTTATCTTAGAATTTGTTAAAACATTACCCTTTTTTTATCATGAAGTAATCCTAGGGTATCGCTCAGATAGAATTGCTAGTCTTATATAAAATACAAAGTATTTGAAATAATAATTTTTATATGTAATAATAGCCAAAGTAAAAAATAAAGTAACATAAGCTACAGATAAATTGAATTAGTGGTTATATGTAATGCAGCTAAAGAAATATAATATTAAGTTATGCAAATAATAATAAAATTTTTTGAGAAATGTTAAAGTATTTAAAATATAAGAGAAAACACTCTTGAGAAAGAAAAAGGTTATTAGAGATTAAAAAAAATAATAAAAATAATGATAATTAAATGAGCAAAATAATAATATAATCAAAATATTATTATAATCATATGAATATTATATATATATAAGAGACTGATAATAATTCACATATGTGATAATAATAATTCTCTTATTTTAATTATATTTAATATTAATTTTATAAAAAAAATAATATTTTTAATAATATTTTATAATATTTTTTTTTTATAATATTATAAATATTAATTTTATTAAAATCTTATTTTTTTATAAATATTTTTTAAATTATTAATTATATAAAAAAAAACTTTTTATAATTAAATTCTAATAGATTTATTTTTATTATTTTATATTTTATTATTGATTTATTATAATACAAATTTTAGTTTTATTTAATAAATAAATATATTTATAAAAATGTTGCATATAATAACCTATTAGAAGAGCCAATAAAATTTAATATTTAATATTTATATTACAAATAAAAAAGCTATTTTATTGACTTTTCTAATAAATAATTATATATAATAATTGTTACAATTAGATTTATCCTTATTTAATATCTTAAAAGAAAAAAATTGAAATTAAGATTATTTATAAATAAAATTTTAAATAATCTTAAAATTTTTAATCAAAAAGTATATTTATATTTAATTAAATTAAAATTAAAAAAATTTATTTAAAAATTATTTATATTAAAAGTTTTTATATTAACTAAAAATAAAATTATTTTATAAGATTATAATTTAAAATCTAATCTAATTTGATTTTCATTTTTATAAATCTAAATTTAATCTGAATTTGATGTGATCAATTTAAATTTAAATTAAATTTAATTTAGATAGTCTAAAAGTTTTTTAATTATTTAAAAAAAATAATAATATATAATTCTAATTGAACAAAATGATTCACTTAATTTAGAGTTAATAAAATCTTAATAGGTCTTAATTAATTTTAAAAGATTTAAAAAAAATTTTTATTTATATATTATTAATTAAATTTTTTAATAATAATTTTTTTTTTTAATAATTAAAATAAATAAATTTTTATATTAATTTAATATAAAAAACTATTATAAATTAGAAATTTATTTAATTTAAGACTTGGTCTTAAACTTAAGTCCTAATCTAATGTTTTTTTTAAAAAATTTTAAATTTTAAAGAAAATTTTAATTTATTTTAATAAGTAATTTTAATTAAAAAAAAAAAATTAATTTTTAAAATTAATAATTTTTTAAAATTATTTAGAATTAATTAGGACTTTTTTAACCTTAATTCAATTAAAATAATAATAAATCATTTAAATTGAACTATAATAAATTATTTAAGAAGAATGATAATAAATTGTTAAATTAGAATAATAATAAATCATTTTAATTAAATAATAATATACCATTTAAGAAAATAATAATATATCATTTATAAAAAACAATAATATATTATTTAAGGAAAACAATTAAAGATAACACTGCAACTGGTTACAACTGATGACAAATAAGCATCATAGGGTTGCAACTAGTTGCAACATTAATAAAAATTAAGTTGCAACTAGTTGTAACCAGTGATAAATAAGTATCACATGGTTGCAACTAGTTGTAGCGTCATCTTTAAAAACAATAATATATTATTTAAAAAGAACTATAAGAAGAATGATAATATATCATTCAAAAAAATTGTTAATACATCATTCAAGAAGAATAATAATAAATAATTAATTTAAATTTAAATCTAAATTCTAAAGATAGTTTCTATAATTAAATTGAATTGCAACTTAATTATATTATAAGAATATTTAATTATATCATAAGTTATAACTTAATTGTAACATTTTTTTAATTGTAATACCTATATTTACTAAATTTATATCTAATATATCAACTCAAATTTAAATCTAAATTTGATAAATTAAATCATTTGAATTTAAATTTGATAAATCTAATCTAATTTAGTTCTAGATCTAAATCTAATTTAAATCTGATAAATTTAATTCAAAATTGATCTATCAAATTAAAATTAGATTCAAATCTATTTAAATTAATATAATATATATATATTATATATAATAAAATAATAATTACAATTTATATATAATAAATAAAACTTATTTAATAAATTTTTATTTATAATAAATATTTATATAAATTTTAATAAAATATAATAAATTTTTAATTGTATATTATAAAATTTTGATAAAGTATAAATTAATAATTAAAAAATTAAATAAATTATAAATTTATTTTTTTTTGATAAATATATTATTTAAAATATTTTTTTAAAATAAAATAATATATCTAAATTAAAATAAATTAGAGTAAATTAAAAATTTTTTGAGACTTTAGATTGAAAAAGCAATAAATAATAATATCATTATTAATAATAAATTATTAATATAAAACTTATTTTTTATAATATTATTTGATATAAAAGATTTTAAAGAATTTAATAAATAGATAATTGGTTTTAAAAAATACCATAATCTTAAATATTACTTAAGACTAAAGATAATTTTATAACTAGTTATAATTGGTAATAAATAAGCATTATATAGTTATAATTAGTTACAACATTATATTTACTTAGATATAAAAAAATAGCAAGTATTCTTTTAGAAAAATTAGATGATATGTAAAAGAATTTTCAAAATATTCTTTTAGATTATTTACTTAATAATATATTAATATATATTAAATAAAATTTTGATGGAAATAAATCATTTATTTCTTATTAATTAAATTAGATAAAAAATTAATATAAATAATTAAATAAAAATTAAAATTAAAATAATATTTATATTAGTTTTAAGTAAACTTAGAATTAATTATATCAGATTAAATAAATCAAATTATTTAATATAAAAGGGGTGGGTTAGATCAAGTAAAAATCTATTTTGATTTAAATTTTCATTTAAATTGATCTGATTTGATTATCATGTATGTATATAGTATACAGTCAACTCTTGATATAGCGAACTCTTGATATAACGAATTTTTTGAACAAATATAATAAAAATACTCTTGTTATAGCGAATTAGCCAATCAAATCTCTTAAACTCTTCATTATAGCCTTATAACGAAGTTGAGGTCTAGGACATAGAGTTCGTTATAACAAGAGTTGACTGTATAGTGTATAATCTTTTTGTAAAAATATTTACAAAGAAGATTATATATTATACACTATATACATATATAATTTAGTTAGATCTGACCTAAAATGAAAACTTTGTTGTATTAATTAAATAATATTAAATAATATTAAATTATAATAGAATAATATAATAAATAATTGTTAATATATTTAACAAATTCTATATAATAATCTTACTAATTGAATAATTCATTATCATTCTTCTTAAATAATTTAACATTATTCTAATTAAATGATTTATCATTATTCTAATTGAATAATTTATTATTGTTTTAATTAATAATTAGTTATTGTTCTAATTGAATAATTTATCATTATTTAATTGAATAATTTATTATTATTTTAATTAAACAATTTGTTTTTATTTTAATTAAATGATTTATATGTATATACTATATAAGTTTTTATTTTTTAAAAATAAATTTACAAATAAAAATTTATTAAATTATATTATTAAGCTTATAAGATAAATATAAGTAAATAATAAATTTATCTTTTTTTGTGATTTTTTAAAAACTTTTTATTTTTTAAAAAATTCAATAAGAAAGAAAATAATAATTAACTTATTCTTATAATTAATTTTAAGTTAGTATTATAAAATAATATAATAATATTTTTATTGTATTCGTATTAATAAATAATCAAAATTATATTTAATATACAATCAACTTTTATTATAATGAACTTTATATCTTAGACCTCAACTTCACTATAACGCTATAGTGAAGATTTTAAGAGATTTTATTGGCTAATTTGCTATAATAAGAGTATTTTTATTATATTTATTCAAAAAATTTGTTATATCAAGAGTTCGTTATATCAAAAGTTAACTGTAATAATATTTAGCTAATAACTAAATATAATTGATTGTTATTATAAATTGAACTAAAATTCTAATTTTAATAATGCAAGTATAATAATTATAATACAATTCAAATAATGTAATAATTTTTAATATATTATATAAAAATAATATATTTAAACATTATAATAAGAAATGTAAATGAAACTTAAACATAAAATTTTTTACTTAAATCCACTTGAATATTGAAAAATTAATAAAGTTAATAACCAAATCTAATAAAAATAATAAGAGATTATTTATTAATACTTGTAATTAGTATTTTATTTGATAAAAAAAATATTTAGCAAGAAATACTGATGCAGATTATTATAAAAGTAGTTCTTAGATTTTATATTAATCTCAACTTTTAGCAAAAAAAAAGTATATTTGTTATTAATGCAAAATAATTTGTGTTTCAGCTATCAATCCAGTTCTCAAGAAGGTAAATAATCTTCTTGAATATATCATCAGAATTATTATTAGATTCCTTATATTTAAGTTTGTTTTAACATCATCTTTGAATTCTTCTAAACTTTAAAATACTAAATATTTCCCATTTTCAGTTTATGTATTAAAGGTCTTATAGCTGCTACACATATACAGAATCACTAGCATTCCTCTTCTTATTGTTCTTCAATCCTACTACCTTTCATTTACAAATAGCTGACCTTATCATTTTACCTACTCTAATAAGATTTCTTTAGGAAGAATTCACCGGTACGATAATTGCTCTAAATTTTGCAACCAACTTTTGTGTAAAACATTTCAAATCTATAGTGGAACTACTTCTAAGATTTCGGTCAATAAATTTTCCAATTTATTTGTGTTATTACTTTCTCTGATTGATTAAATATAAAATCGGTAATTTGTGTAAGAATCATAATAATATAAGGTTAAATTTACTACAAGTCGCATTATCAAAGTCATGCTAACTCACCAGTTAATTGCGCGTTGCAGGTAGTTTATACTTTTAATTTCATATAATTATTACTTTTCATATGCTTGAAGAATAAAATAATAATAATCTTAAAAATAATTAAAGGATTAAATACGAAGAAAATTTTGTCTAGGAATGACTGAAAGAAAAAAAAGGTTATGAACATGTTTTGAAAATAAAGATTCATGAGTAGCGCATTTCTCGAACTGGAATGGATCACAAAAGGTTCAGGAGAGTGACGCATTTCAGTAAATGAGAAATTGATAAAAAGGCATATTCTCATGAAGAAAGAAAACTATACATCATAAATAAGCGTCTACTTACTGTTAGTCATTAAAAAAAAATCAAAAAATGACAAGACGACTAGAGTTTAATCAGTGTGAAATTGAATTCAAACCAA